AACCCCCCCGCACCCAGGTCTTCCTCTGAGAGGCCCTCCCCCTCCAAGCCACGACACCGGGCACCTCTCAGCACCCGTGCCTCCCACAGGGAAGCCCCCCGGGGAGAGTGTGCAGCCCAACTCAGGGAGGGTGAATCCAGCCCCCGGGGACCAAGGACGAGGGTCCCTCCAGGAAGGCTGGGGGGGGGGGCGGGATTCCCAGCCCACAGGTGTTTCAGACCCTCTTTCTTGGAGTGGAGCACTCCCTCACCTGGCTCCCGGGGGGCCGGGCGGTGGAATCCACCCATCCCGCTGTGAACACGGTGCTCCCGTGAGGCCAAGGACTCCCCTGGGCCTCCCCTCCTCCCCACCCCTTTGCACAGGTAGGCAGGACAGTGGGGGGAGGGTGCCTGAGGGCAGCTGCCAGGTAGGGGAGTTCCGTTGCTTCTTTGAAAGCACAGGCAGAAAACTCTGGGCCAATCACTGGGTCTTAAGGGTGCGGGAGCCTCATCACTAAGCAAACTCCACCCCCTGGCACTTGGGTTACCCATCCACCCGCCCCCCTTTCCCTTCCCCCCCTCCTGCCCGTGACACTGTGGTTCGAGGAGCCGCTGGGTTCTTGGTTGCTGCGGGAGTTCGCTGGGCTGCCGGAACTAGAGACCACACACTGGGGGGCCTAGAACAGCAGAAGTTTCCCCTCTCACTTTCTGGAGGCCGGGTCCGGAATCCAGGAGTCAGCAGGACGGTGCTCCGTCCGGAGCCTCCCGGCCACCCTCCTAGCTGCTGGTGTGGCCGTCAGTCCCGGCCCTCCGGGGCTCACAGCTGCACCACTCGAGTCCGCCTCTCCCCTCCTGTGTCTGCATCCAAGTGTCCCTCTTCCTGCAGACACACGGGTCATGTTGGATTAAGGCCCACCCTGGTCACCTCTTCCCAGCTGATTACGTCTGTGAAGACCGCTTCCAAATGAAGTCACAGTCACAGGTCCCGGGGATTAGGACTTCAACATCGTGTTTGAGGGGACACGGGTGCAGGCCACAGAACCCACTTGTTCAGCAGATACGGATTTAGAAGGAGCCGTGAGGTGGCTTGAGGATCAGGCTAAGCTTCCAAGAACAGAACACGGACCCGCCGCTAGAACCGGTCTGCGTAAGGGACCTGCCGCCTCCACCGAGCCCGGAACTGCGGTGTCCAGCAGCGGCAGGAAGCAGAGCCCACCACCTTTGCCCCAGTAGCCCCCCCACCCACGACCCGCTAAGTCGGACACGTGCCCTAGCGGCAAGGGGACAAGGGGATGCATACCCCGGGGGAAGGGGGAGCTCCGAATTCTGAGCGGGAAGGAAGACGGGACTCACAATGTGGGAGCCATCAAAGACACTGGACAGCCACGGTGACAGATGTCCCCCCCCCCCCAGCCACTAACCCCACTCTCTTCTCTTTTACTATACTGCAGGAGTGTTGTCATGTGACACAGTCCTGGCCAGTGACGTAGCCAGAAGCCTACCGGGGAACATCTGGGAACTGTTTCCATGATAAAAGAGACAGACATCTCTGTCACTATCCTTTTCCACCTTCCTCCAGCCTGGAACATGGAGGTAGCGTCTGGAGCTATGGCACCCCTCTGTGACCATGAGGAAAAGGCCGACAGGATTACAGAGATAGTTCACCTGTGGGCTGCTGAACTCACAGAAACCTTCCTGCTTCCAGGTTTCCCGTTATGGGTGAAAAACAAAGCCCCAATGGTTCAAATGACTGCACTTGTCAGTATTTCTGCTACTTGAAGCCCAAAATGCGTCAATTCACACAGCAGGGATCCATTCATCCGACCATCCCTCCATCCAAGCTAAGGTTAAGAAAGCTTTTTTTTTTTTCCCCCAATTTATTTTTGAGAGAGAGAGAGAAGCAGAGAACAAGCGGGGAAAGGGCAGAGAGAGAGAGAGACACGGAATCTGAAGCAGGCTCCTGACGTGGGGCTTGAACCCACAAACTGTGAGATCACGACCTGAGCCAAAGTCGGATGCTTAACCCACTAGGCCACTCAGGCGCCCCAGGTTAACAAAGCTTTTAAGCAAATGAGTGGCGTCCGTTTAAACTTCAGGAAGTTTCCGCAGTAAATTAAGCTTGCTTTTACAAAGGCTGGGAGAAAAGAGAGGCACGCAGACCGCCTGGAGGCAGAGGCGGGGGTGGGGATGGAGTTTATTCCGAAGTCATCTGTGGAAGGTTGCGCACTGTCGGAGGTAGGCTTGGGGAAAGCGTCTCAGGACTCCCAGATTTGCAGCAAACCAGCTGTCCGGCGAGGACGGCACCTGCACTAGCGCCCTCCAGGGTAGCAGAGCTCCGGATCTCAGCCTCTGCACACGGGGCGGGAATTCATTCCACGGCTGGCTCCAAACCTTTCCTCCACCTGATCTGCACGCCACCCGGATGCGTGCGCGTCGTCCCGCCCGGCCGGGGCCCGGCGAGGCCCAGGCCGAGCCCGGCCAGGGGCAAGACCAGGATCGTCCTCCCAAAGCCGGGCCCAGCCAGGCCGCGGAGAGTCCCCACCGAGAGGTTTGCAGGCGCTCGGCAGGAAAGGCAGGCTGCCTCGGGCAGCGCGGAGGACCGGACCCTGAGCACCCCTGGCCCTCCCACCCAGCGCCAGCAAGGCCCAGGCCCCGCGGCGGCCACCCGTCTGCAGGGCTGCGGCCGCACGGGAGAAGCCGGAGGGCTCGGCAGGGGCTGAGGCCTGAACACAGCCAGCCGGTAGCCGCGCGCGGGTGCGCGCTCTGCGACTCTCCCCAGGCGCCCGGGGTCCCTCGGCCAGGTCCCGCCGGCGCAGCGAGGACGACCCGGGGTCTTCGTCCTCCTGCCCACGCGTCCGGCGTCGTCCCCGCGCGCTCAGTCCTCCGCGAGCACACCCGTCGGCGGACTCAGCCCCGCGCAGCGCCGCCGGGCGGAACCCGAGGCCCCGCGGCTCGCGTTTCCCGGGGGACTTCCGGGAGCGCCGGCGCGCCGTCCCACGTGACGGGGGAGCGCGCGGGAGGCGGGGCGAGCATGCGCGGTCCGGCCGGCACTTCCGGGCGGGCTGGGGGCTGCGGGCCGAGGGTCGAGCCCTCCGTGTCGGTGGCTCTGCGCCCCGCGCCCCTCGGCCGCTCTCCTCGCCACCCGCCAGCTCGGGGAGGGCGGGGCGTGACGATTGTCCCCTCGAGAACCTCCCCGGGCGGCATCAAAGACCGGCGGCCGGTGGGAATAGAGGGAGGAGGAGGCGTGTAACCTGGGACCGGAGGGGCGAGGAGCGGGAGTCCCGGCCTCTCGGACCCCGGACCCTCGGCCGCCGGACTCCCCGGTACCCCCGGTGCCCCCGGGCCTCTGGCTGGGGCCCCAGACCTCCGGCCGCCCCTCACCAGGCTGGGCAGGAAAGCACACAGCGCGCTGTGGGACGTGGTCCGCGGCTGGCGACCCCAAACCTTAGAAAAGGCCCAGGACAGGGTGCTGGGAGGCGAGGTCGGAGGGAAAGAAGGGGCAGGATGTCCCTGCGGGCGGGACGAGGAGCGCACACCCGCGGGGATTCCACACCCGCACCTGATCTCAGGGGTGCCTCGGAAGACCGCCGCCGTATCTGTGGACCACGATTGTGATTTGGACTAGGGTGTTGCCAGTGGGGGCGGACAGGCCCAAGATAGGTTGTGCAGACAGGAGCCCAGAACTTTGTGTGGAACCTGGGGAGTAAGAAGAAGGAGCTCCCAGGCTCCCGGCTTGAAGGACGAGCTCATCGGGGCTCTCGTTTGCTGGAAGGGGGGCAGCTGGGAGAGAACCGGTTTGTGGGGGGATCCGGGTTTCATCCCGTGCTCCTGGAAGGCACGCAGGAGGCGTGTGTAGGCGTCGCATCTGTGACTGGACGCAGAGGGGAGCTGGTGGCAGGCGACGCCCGCTCAGGGGGGCACCAACAGGAGATGGCATCTGTCGAAACGGAAAGGGCCAGGCTCCCTAAGGAACCGGCGCTGATGGAGAAACCCAGCGGGGGGCCGAGTGCCGACGTGTGCGGAGACGGAGGTGGACGGAGCCAGTGGGGCAGAAAAGGACCTGGGAGAGCAGCGGGTGAAGTGGGGAGTGGTTAGCGGAGCAAGATGCTGTTGAGACGGAGGCCACGTGACGGGAAGGCCGCGTGGAGGTGGCTGGTTTCGCGAGCGGGGCGGGGCGGGGCGGGGGAGGGGGGGAGCCGTGGGGAAGGGGCCGAATTGGCGGGGATTGCGGAGTAAACAGCCTTTCCCTCTGAACTAGAGGAACCGGTTCTAGGGTCCCCCTGAAACACGAACAAGCAAAAATAGTAAAGGAAAAAAACCCAAACTGAAAAGGCGGGGATGAGCAGCTTACCCTGCCGCAGCCCTTCTGGGTGACACCGGGGACGAAGAATATCCGCATTTACAGGAACATCGGAGAATACCCAAGAAACGAGTCCTAGTGGGAGCCCAAAGGCAGGGACAAACGGGGCGGGAGGGGGCACGAGCCAGAGGGAGCAGGTCCTCTGTGTCCGTTTTAACGCCAGAATGAAGACGAAAACGCAACACTTAGGGAAGGGAGGAAGGAAACCGCACACAGAATTAAGCCGTCGGTGGGAAGGCGCGGAGGAGGGAGGGGTGAGGGGTAAAGGGCGGGGTATCAGGTGGAACCTAATTCACGTAGGTTGGCAACTAATGCCCAGTAACCCGATCCAAAATAAAGCCAGGTCTCCCCGCCTCTCCCCGTCCTGCAGGGACCAAGTCCCCTCCCCACGAGGGACCAGCATTCCCGAGTTACCGATTATTCTCTTCAACATCTTTCCAAGAATATCTTGTTAACCGTGCAAACGCGTATTCACGTGCTTACAATTTCCGCTCTCCGTGGCGGGAGGGTGGCACGCTGCCACCCGTGTGCTCTGTGACTCCCACTTGGTGGGGGCTTCCGGAGGCCGTGCGGTGCCACGCAGGCACCTTTGTGGCCGTGGTGCCCCGTTTAATACCGCGGCTTGGCGGGTCCCCTGCCGACAGTGCCCCGAGCCTTCAGCGATGCCCGGCCGGGTGGAACAGCGCTCCGCCACCCGGCCTCGCACGCCGTTCCGCGCACGTCCGAGCTTATCCGAAGACAGATCCCCAGAACTCCGGGGTCGAAGCGCTCGCGTCGCCGTGATGTGGGCAGCAGCTCCGGACTCGGCCCGGAATCAGATGCTAGCCGACTTCGCGCCTGCCAGGCGTCTGTCACAGCGCCGCTGCCCTGCGACCCCACCAGGGACCGAGGTGACGGAGCCGTCGTCATCGCCGGTCTGATGCCAAACGGTGTCTCTAAGCATTGGGTTTGGTTTTAACTTTTTTAAATGTTTATTTTTGAGAGAAGGACAAGAGTGTGAGTTGGAGGGACAGAGAGAGGGAGGCACAGAATCCGAGGCAGGCTCCAGACTCCGAGCCGTCGGCACAGAGCCCCACGGGGGGCTTGAACCTGGGAACCGTGCGATCATGACCTGACCTGAAGTCGGACGCTTAACCCACTGGGCCACCCAGGCGCCCCTAGTGTTTCTAAGCATTTTGTCAAGGCAAGTGTCAAATATGCAAGTTTTTTAAAAGAATATTTATTTTTTTTGAGAGAGAGACAGAGACAGAGCGTGAGCAGGGAGGGGGGCAGAGAGAGAGACGCACACACACACACACACACACAGAATCCGAAGCAGGCTTCGGGCTCTGAGCCGTCAGCACACAGCCCGATGCAGGGCTTGAACCCATGAACCCTGAGATCGTGACTTGAGCTGAAGTCGGAGCCTTAACAGGCCGAGCCCCCGGGGCGCCTCGCGCAGGCAAGTGTTTGAGGTACAGTAAACCCCCTGCCTGTGTCATCGGTCTCAACAGCTGCCCTCTTCCCGCTTTCTAGCTGCTTCTACGCCTCTGTTCTTGCCACTTAGCAACTATTTTTATCATTTTTTTAAACGTGCTTCAGAATGCGCCAGTCTTCACTGTAAACCTTACCCACTCTGACAGCTACGTAGCACTCCGCCCTATGAAACTCAGGAACGGCCCGTCACCCCAGAAAAGTTCGCAGGTGCCCCCGGCCGATGCTCGTCCCCCCCACAGAGGCTAAAGTCAGCTTCCTCTGCTGGACGTGACTTCGCTCTAGAAACTCACGCCAAGGAGACTGTACGGCAGGCGCCCTTCCTGCCCGCCTTCTCTCCCTCAGAACAGGGACACTGGCCCACGCTGTGGTGGCCTGCCAGCCACCCCTCCTCATTGCTACGCGCTGTCCCGCGGGGAGAGGACCGTGCAAGTGGTCTGCCCGGTCTGTGGGGGATGGGCTTTCGGGTGGCTTCTGGCCTTTGGTGCTGCGAACACTTGAGGAAGGTCCCTCTGGGGGACACGTGTTTCATTCCCGCTGGATGGTCCCCACGGCAGAAGTGCCGGGTCAAGTGGCAGGTGCACGGCTGACCTCCTGAGGGGCTGGCCCTCCCCTGCCGAGGGGCCGGCTGCCCCCCCCCCGCCCCCCCCCTCCCCGGGGCTGGTGTCGCCTTCGGGCTGCGGACAGACGCGTTCTGGGATCTCACCGTGGTTTCCATCGACACCCCCGCCCCGTGATGAGTGGCGCTGAGCACCCTTCCGCGAACGTGCTAAGTTCTTTCGAGAAATGTCTGCCCGGCCCGCCGCTGCACACACCTCCCGGCCGCACTGGGTGCTTCTCGTGTGGACACCTGTCCGCGTGCTGCCGCCTGCCTCGCCCCCCCCCCACCCCGGTGCCTTCAAGTCGTCTTCTGAAACGCGGATGCTCGTGTCCAGAATGTCTCGTCCTCTGTGGTGGCCTCACTGGCCCCTGGGAGCCACTGGTTCTGCAGTCCCTTTTTTTTTTTTAAATGTTAATTTATTTATTTTGAGAGAGGGAGAGAGAGAGAACGTGGGTGGCAGAGGGGCAGAGAGTGAGAGACAGAATCCCAAGCAGGCTCTGGGCTGTCAGCCCAGAGCCCCACGGGGGGCTCGACCCCACGACCCGTGAGATCGTGACCTGGGCCGAGTTGAAGAGTCGGACGCTCCACCGACTGAGCCCCCCCCCCAGGCCCCCCTGCAGCCCTTTCAGGACGCTGTCGCAACGGGGTCGGCAGCCCTCCCGAGCCTCCCCTCTGCGGGCTGTGCGGTGAGGGGAGGGCTGCGTGCATCCGGGCTTGCCAAGGACCAAGACAGAAGGAGACAGGCAGAGACTCCCGGGGAGCCGGAGGAAGGCGGGGGGCAGACGGTGAGGAGGTGGCCGCTGGCGGTGGTCCGCGTCGCAGAAGCTGCTCGGTCAGACGGGGACGCGGCTGGTGCTGTGCCGGGGGATCTGGACTCGAGGTTCCGGAGGGGGCGCTGCTGTTGGGCGAGTGGGGGCGCGGGGGCAGGGGGAGAGGCCGCCGAGCGCAGCGAAGGGTGCTGGATGTGTTTGGCCGCAGGCCGTTGGACGCTGAAAGCCTTGGCCTCGGAGACGGGACGCGGAGTCAGAGTGGCCTGAGCCCTCTGAACACGGGGACCTCGGGTGCGGAGCCCCGCAGAGAGAGGGTGTGGGGTCCTGGGCGAGGCGGGGCGGGGGCACAGACACCCCCTCCTCCCTTCCTGGCCCTGGCTGGGGGCGGGGGGGGGGCAGATGGAAGAAACTGGGTGTACCTGACGCTCTGCAGGGGACAGGGCCGAGGGGCCGAGGGGCCGAGGGGCCGAGCCCTGGGCCGCAGCCGGCGCGGGGTGAGGCTCAGGTGTGGAGGCTGTGGGCAGGGCGGGGTCAGAGCCCATGGGGTGCCCGGCACATCGGAGGACAGAATGGGACCTCGCCGAACCTACGGGAGCACGGCAGCGGCTCGCTCGGACGGGGCCTCCGCACTCTTCTGGAACACCGCTGGCTAGGGGTTGGATTGCGTCTCTCCAAAACGCCTCTCCAAAAACCCGAACGCCCGGCCCCTCAGAAGGTGACGGTATTTGGAAATGGGCTCTTTACAAAGGCGTTCAGGTTACAACGAGGTTCCCGGGGTGGCCCCAGAGCAATGGTACCGGTGCCCTTCGAGGAGGAGGCCATCAGGACACAGGCACGCACAGAGGGGTGGCCTCGTGAGGGCACGGGGAGAGGACGCATCTACACGCCGGGGCAGAGGCCTCGAGAGCCACCGGCCCTGTGACAGCTGATCTCACACTTCCAGCCCCAGAACTCCGAGGAGATAAACGAGTGCCGTGGGAGCCGCCCGGTGCGCGCTGCTCTGTCCCGGTGGCCTGAGCTCGCCACGCAGCGGCGGACAAGCCAGCGACAGGAAGGCACGGCTGGGTTTCTGCACACAGGCTTTTGTTCAAATTGCTGGAAACGTCATTTGGTCCCGATCAGGGAGGTGAGTCCCTGCCGCCCCCCCGAGATTTCCGGGGATGCCCAGATCCACTGACGTCTCTGCAGGGCCAGCGGCCAGCCAGGCTGGGGCTGGGCTGGGTGGGCGCCTGGGTGCCGTGAGCCCGGCTGGTCTGCTCCCGGAGCCGCCTCCCGCCCGCCTGCCCGCCTCGGGCCCGGAGCAGATCAGCTCCCAGGCCCGCAGCCTGGAGCCGCCCCGGGCCCCAGACGGCTGTCCCCATCCTCCTCCCGCGCCCCGGGGGCTCCGCCAGGGACAGCTGCAGGGGCACGCAGCAGGGAGGGTGAGGGCCGGGGCCGGGTGGCTCCGTGACAAGGCTCGGGGCCCACGGTGCCGGTCCCCAAACTGCAAACTGCTGTCACCTGCAACCCGGTACAGCTCGGCCGGCTCTGCGGTGCCCTCTGTCCTGGGCGCCTTCTGACCCGGGCACCGCCCCGGGGAGGCGGCCCGCACTTGGTGGCCGCTGCCCGTGCGCCTGCCGGGCCTGACCCCCTTTTCCCCTCCAAAGCTGTGCGCCCCGCTCTCGTTCCCATTGTGCACTGAGCAGCCGGGCAGAAGAGCCCTGGGGACAAGGATGAGGGCCAGTGGCCCTGCCCGGAAGGACTCTGACAGGCACAGGGCTGCCTTCCCTGCTGCCGTGGGGGAGGTCAGGTGGGGTGGTCGGGAGATGCACAGACCCGTTCTGCCCTGAGTACGGACAGAGGGGGTGCGGCGGGACCCCGGGAACAGCCCGGAAGTGAGGGCTGCAGGGAAAGGAGGGACAGGGACCGGAGCTCGCCCCCCGTCTCCTACAGGTCGCCAGCGTGCAGATGGCCAGCACTGCGCCCTCCACTTGCGAGTTGGTCCAGACTTCAGGGGTCCGTTTCTGTGGGGATCTGCTGGAGGTGACGATGCAGGAGGAGCTGGAGGCGGAGGCGCCAGACCCTTCCACGTGCCTCGGTTTACCATCCAGCCAGTGGGTCAGGCTGGGTGGCTCCAGCCTGCGAGGAACCGAGCTGGCAGCCTGGGTGACAGACCGGGCAGCGGGCTGGGTGTGGACACAGCTTGGCAGCGCTGGGCCGGCGGGAAGGACCCTGGAAGCCTGAGCCCCGGTCGGCCCCTCCCCCACCCCCCTCCCCTGCCTGGTTAGCATGGCAACAGCCTCCTCCCTGGTTCCGAGAGGGCCGCTGAGTCACGGGCCCAACTGGGAACATGACAGGGTCCCCCTGCAGGACAGTGGCTCCGGTCCAGGAGGAAGGCTCAGTGGGAGGCAGGCTGCGTGGGGGAGGGGAGGCACCAGGCACCACCTCTGAGAAGCGACGAGCTGCGGTTGGGACGACCGGGGACGGGTCGGGCCTCAATGTCTAGCCACAAACACAGCAGGCTTTTCAGCACCAGCTCAGCTGAGCACCACCTCTGGGGACCCCTTGGTCCCTGCCCTGCCCCTGGGTCTGTCTGCTTCCGCTCTTCCTGCCCTGCCCCTGGGTCTGTCTGCTTTGGCCAGAGCGAGGCTTGGCCTGCACGTGAGGCCATGTGCTCCTCTGCCCCGGGCCCAGGGACGTGCTGAGAGCCTCCAGCTTCCTGCTCCCACGCGAGGGCCGGGCAAGGGCTGGGGCACCCACCCGAGCCCACCTGCCAGCTCTGATCTGGCTCAGGGCTCCAGAGCCGCCCCCAGCCCCCCACCCCTGGGGCCAGGCCCACCAGCACTGCCCAGATCCAGGCCTCTGAGGGCCCAGCCCCACCCTGAGGGAGGTGGGAGGCACCGGAGTTACCGTGGGAGGACAGAGGGCAAGGGGCATGTGGGGGGGGCACACGGGAGTTGGGGTTGCCTCTGAAAGGCGGGTGGACGGGAGGACCCAAGACCAGAGTGTCGGGAGGAGCCTCAGATCCAAGCTCCAGGGCCTGTGGCTGCCCAGCAGGGGCCCCCTTTGACACCCCCTCCCCCCGAAGAAGTTTGAGGCCTGTGACCGGGTCCCAGCCTGCATCCTGTTCCCCTCACTCAGGGCAGTGGAGGCGACCCATCCACAGCCCTGCCCTGGCCCACACCCCCCCATGGGGCACAGCAGGTGATGCCACCTGAGACAGGGCCCCCCCGAGTGGCCGCTGCCCACCGGGACCCTCCCCCGCCCCCCGCCCACCCGACCAGCAGCGCCCACACCTCACGCGCACACCCCGGTCCCCAGGAATAATCCTGCCCATCTCCACCTGGGGCGGACTTTATTACCACGGTCATCATCAAGACGATCATGTGAACACAGGGAGACAGCGCCGGTTTCCAGACTGTTGTGGCAGGCGGGGGCGTGCAAAGGAAACCTCCCGCCAAACGCTACGCACAAACAACTGTCCTCTGGGTCACCGGGAGCCGTCACCCCAGGGGCAGAGCAGCACGAGGCCGTGAGGAGGAGGCTGGACCAGCCTGCGAGGACCCCACCCGGCAGGCTCCCCTCGAACTGCACCTGCCCGCGCCTCTAATACACGTTCCCACACAATCAGGGCGTTAAATATACAGAGATTTCGTCGGAACTGCGTTGGTTAACAAATAAACTCACCACCTCTCTTTACATTAACTTCACAGTAACTGTTTGCAGGAGACGATGAATCCAGTGTTGAGAACTCAGGGGAGGACAGTAAGTTTCTTCCCCGTGGAAACCCCTGGGGAGAACCCAGTCTCCCTGCTGCCCACTGGGCTGTGGGCGTGGCTTGGGGACACACACACACACACACACACACACACACACACACACGGAACCCTGACTCGGTACAGGACACCGAGTGTGAGGTGCCACCAGCCCTTCCGGGATACTCACAAGCAGGGGGTCCCCTTCCCCCAGCTCTCCCTCGGTCTGCAGCCAGTCCAGGGCCTCTGAACCCCAAGCACCAATGGGGAGGGGGCCCCCCCGCACTGCACGGTGGGCGGCCCCACACACCAGGAGAGCGGGGAGCCTGTGGGGGGAGACGGCCCCTTCGGTCCACCTGCTGTGAAGGTCACCGGTCATTTCACTCCAGACCAGACAGATGAATAAATAGGACATCAAGTGTTGCCAGGAGACGGGAGAATAACTTAAACTTGGCTGGACTCTGTCCTCAGTGCCTCCAGTCAGTGGGAACCCGGAGTCCCGGGGGTCTGCCACCTGCAGGGCCCCCGGGAGCTGTGGCAGGCCTCCCTCTGGCCTCTCTCCTTGCCGTCGGTGAGGACATTCCAGCAGCAACATCTGCAGAGTGAATAGGCGGGCTTGGCGGGGTGGCCCCTCCAAACGCACACTCAGAGGTCTGCCCATTCTAGGAGCTGTGGATGACAGTGGGGGCTGTGACCCCAGCCCATCAGGGGCTCGCCCCCCCACCCCGTGCCCTCCGAATCCGGTGGCAGCTTTCGCCCAGGCCCCACTGGAGGGAAGGGAAGACCTGCAAACACTGCCCCCGATCAGAGAGAGCAGCTTCGGGCCCCCAGATCACGGCTCTGGAAATGACCGGCAGCTCCAGGGAGACCCTGAGCAGGCAGTGACCTCAGGGCGACGCCCACAGCAGCCCAGGGGCAACCTGCGGCCACGCCGGTGGGCGGCTCCCTTCCCGGCCCCACCCGAGGGATGCGCAGAGGCGCCCTGGACCCTATGCTCAGGCAGGGAAGAGCACGGCCCATCGCCCACGGGGAGACAGCTGGCAGCCTCAGGGAGGCTCCTTCTGCGTCTAAAGAGAATCATTTCCGAGTGCCGATTCCCTCCCTCCGCCGGATCACCTCCCACCCCGGCACCTGGAACCCCGGAGCCACTGAGCGTCTGGCAGGTTCTGCAGAACCCTGATTTCCCCCGCCCGCGCTCCCTGTGCCCGGGGCCTCCCGAAGAAGCTCCCACTGCCACCCGCCGGGGCGGCCCGTTCCGTCCAAGTGCCCTTTTTGGGACACGCTGACAGCTTCTGACACGCTTTGGGACGCGCTGACAGTCCCTTTTCGGGACACGCTCTGCCAGTGTGCCGGTGCGGGTGGTCAGGAGAGCCCTCGGAGGGGGACACACGTGCCTCCTGGAGCCAAGGAGCCTGGGCCGGAGCTCGAGGCAAAGGAGACACTGGCTGGAGGGGGAAGGAGAGCAAGACGGTGTTTAAGATCAGGGCACGGGCTGGGGGCAGACGTGAGTCGGAGGAAGGGAGCAGGGGCCGGGCGTGGAAGAGGGCTGCCCGAGCCACCCTGAGTCACCTCCAGTCCGAGGTCCCCGCCAGGGGCAGCAGTGGTCTTCCACCGCTGGGAGCTCTGACCCCGGGGCTCCCCCCAACCCCGCCGCAGCTCCATCCCAGCGTCCCAGCCGGGAGGCCCCTCCCCTCCCTTTTCCAGCCCACCCCCACCCCCTCGCGCCGCACGAACACAAGTCACACCAGCAGGGACTTGACCAGCCCACAGTGGAATTTTCGGACGTGGCGGTAGAGGTCCCCCGACTGCGTGAAGCGGCGCTCGCACCAGCGGCAGGCGTGCGGCTTCTCGCGCGTGTGCACCACCGCGTGGCGGCTCAGGTTGTGCGAGTACTGGAAGCTCTTGCCGCACTGCGCGCACGTGTAGGGCTTCTCGCCCGAGTGGGTCCGCTCGTGCCTCTTCAGCGTGTACGTGCACGAGAAGGTCTTCCCGCAGAGCGGGCAGGTGGGCACCGTGCCGTCGGGCGAGAGGCGCGCCCGGCCGCCGTCCCGCTCCCGGAAGTGGGCGCTCAGGTGCAGCTGCAGCAGGTGGGCCCCGGGGAACAGCTTGCCGCACAGCGGGCACACGCACGGGCGCGCGCCGGGGCCCAGCTCGTCCCCGCGGGCCCCCAGCTCCGCATCCGGCTCCGGCTCGCGGCCGCCCGCCGACGGCTCGGCCGCAGGGGCGCAGGGTGGCTGCGGGGGGCCGTGGG